GAAGCCTCTCCTTGTCGGTCTGCAGGTGTTGACACTCAAGAGGAAAGTGCAAACCTCATCCTGGTCTTCTGCAAATCTCGCCGCCAGAAGGAAACAAAACTTGGTGCGATCTCGGGCGAGTCCCACCGTCCCATCCAACGTGCGGCGAGCTGGGAAGGAAAGAACCCCAAAATGAAGATGTGCTGTTCTGAAGGGGGAACCCTCCCTAAACCCAGCCCGTTTTCCTCTTTGCACTAAGCCGTGGTGTAATAATCGATTTCAGGAGAGAAGTCAACCCAGCTGAACAGGAACTGCAAATCATCATTCATGGCTTAACATATCAGAGAACCCAGCCAATTGGGGTTTAGATACCATGTGCAAAGGCACTCACTTAACCCTGACCACAAACTGTGCATCGAAGCATTTGTATACCTTCCCACACAAATCTGGTTCCACTGACATCTGCGAGGGTTGCTAACTAACAAACAGGCTAGGCTACCACTTCACACATATCTCTCCAACCCTTCCAAAAAGTCCTTTAGTGAAGCCACTAAGCCACTTCTGATTTCAAGGTTAGGGTTGCCTTTTGGCCAAAACAGGCCATCTCTGACACTGCCAATGGAGAGGAGAGCAGGCATCTGACTCGCAAGATCCACCATAATACTTGCTTCTCAATTCCTGGGATTACAACGTCAACCTTGCCAGGTAGACCAGACAGGGCACACGACCAGATGAGCTAATTCTACATCATTGTAAGGCTACATTGACAGAAGCTTGCAAGTCTGAAAGTACAAATCTCCCACCGTCTCCTTTACAGCCTGAGATGTTACAGAGGTTCCTTTCTGAGTTGCTTTTTCCACCCACTATGTAGCTGCAGGCTATGTTCCCTCTTATCTGACTGTTCCCTTGGCGGCGTCCCTTTGCCCCATCTCCCAAGGACTTTCCCACATTTCATCACACATACCTGTGTACATCTGAGCTCTATCTATAGATCTACACAAATCCCTTGCAATTGTTTTTCATGCTTGCAAGATTGATGTCAGCCTTGTGGGGTAAACCAGATAGGAATCATAACCAGATGAGCTAATTCTACTTCATGGTAAGGCTACATTAACAGAAACTTGCAAGTCTAAAAGTAAAATCTCCTGCCGTACAAGTACAAATCCTTTACAGCCTGAGATGTTATGGAGGTTCCTTTCTGAGTCTCTTTCCCCACCCATTATGCAGCTGAGGGCTATGCCTTCTCTTATCTGACCGTTCCCTTGGCAGCATCTTTTTACCTCGTCTCCCAAGGTCATTCCCACATATCATTACATACACCACCCAGCATCTTGTCTCTGACAACGAACAGAGAACCAAGCTGGCTGAGGATGATGGAAAGCTGGACAGCACCCTTGCAAAGTTCAACTATTGGTTAAGGGCATCACTTGATGGGCTTTTGGCCCCCAAAGGCTTCAGAAAGTCCATCTGGTGTCACTGGGCAGAGAGCCGAAACCGATCTGCTTTACGTGGAAAGAGATTCTTGAAAGCAGCTGGAATTTCAGGTTACTGGTGGGAAGAGCTGGGTTCCAATCCCCGCTCAGCCCCCAATGCCCAGTCCAGTTTACCTTGCAGGTTTGTTGTGACAGAAGGAAGGAAGAACTTGTCTGCAATCCCTGGAGAAAAGATCCCTTATTTTTGTTGTTAATTAAGGTAACTAAGGGTAATAGCAAGAACAACAATGCTACTTTTCTGCTATGAAACCCTGAGCTGACCCTGGGCCAGTCACATTTCTCCCCTGCTTCACTGAAGCTGCATTAAGTCCTACCCAGCTGTAACAAAGATAATTATGGGTTTTCTTTTCCGTGAATTATCATTAGGAATGACTCAGCTCTGAGACTCCCTGGGTGGCCCAGGGCCAGCCACCATCATCACAACATCCCTTGCCACTTCTAGTCTGCCTCGCAGGCCTGTTGTGCTGCAAAACAGTAGGAAGGAGCGTGGAGGGCGTAGCTTCGGAGTGGCGTCTAAAATATGCGGGATGCGAGGAGAAGGGCTAATTTGGGGCCCGCAATTTGTCTCCTAAGGCTCAAAATGAAAAGCCAGCTGTGATCGGAAAGATTCGGGACATTACCCACTATGGAGGAATGGTTGGGGAAGATGACAGAACTTGCAGAGATGGCCAAATTGACTTCTCTGATCAGAAAAAAAGACAATATCTACGTTTCTTGCTGACTGGAAACCCCTTATGGACTTTTTGCATGAAACAGAAAAAAATACACTTATGATTTATGGTTTTGAGGATTAGACCGGATAGATTATAGAAAGAAGAGACCACAGAGTAAGAGGTAAACTTAAAATGGTACTTATAACTGCTGTAAAGAAGATTGGAAGCCACGTCTTCGTATCTTTTTTCTTTCTTTTCTATTTTTCTTTTCCTTTTCCCCCCTTCCCTTGCACGTTGAGCTGTCTTTTTGACCTCTTTCTCTTCCTTGCTTTATACAAGCTTGCATTCGTTTTCATCCTTCCTTCTTAAAACCTTTAATAAAGCGACAGATTAAACGAAAAAGAAAAGCCAGCTATAATTGGCACAGAAAGGTGACCTCTGTGCTTGATGACGGCGAGCTGAAACCCTTCTTTAATTAAATCTTTTAATTAAAGGTAATTAAAGCCTTCTATGATGTCTGTTCCTTTCTAGACAAGGGACCTTCTGCTCACCTAATAAAGCACACGGTCGAAAGCCGCGAGGGCTGGAATTATAATGCGTTGCTCGGTGCCAAGAGAACGTGCTTCTATTTTGGAGAGGGTTCCACTGAAGCTGGTGCCAAGGGCTGGATTTATTGGGCACCTGGCGAGGGCCACACCCCGGCTTGGGGTCCAGGTGCTCACCTCTGCGGTCCTATTTCCCCTCCCTGCTCCAACACCCTTTCTAAACAGCCAACCAAAGGTGCGACCGCGTCTCCTTTGCCCACCACGCCACAGGGAGGGGCTGAGCCAGATGCCCAAGCGCATTTCCCCCTCCCCGGTGCCAAACTGTCTCGCCTTTGGGAGCAACAGCAACGCCATTTTGCAGAATCCGGATGCGTTGCACACGCCAATTCCCCACCGGTGGTCCCCGAGACGAGAACGGAGGGGTGAAACCAGCTTTGTGTGCGGTGTCTGGCGGATGCTGGTTCTGGTCTTTCTCACACATGGACACACAAACACACAGCTCTTACTTCAAATTTGCTAAGAGAGTCCATATCTGAAGCCAGTGTTTCTCAACCTCTGTAACTTTAAGATGGGTGGACTTCAACTCCCAGAATTCCCCAGCCAGCCA